AAAATGCTTCCATAAGATCAGGCTATAGGCAAGACTGTAGAAGGTTTTTTTATTTTTATTTTTTTGTTGTTGTTGTTTTTTTTTAAGATTTATTTATTATACACACAGTGTTCAGCCTCTACGTATGCCTACAGGCCAGAAGAGGGCACCAGATCTCATTGTAGATGGTTGTGAGCCACCATGTGGTTGCTGGGATTTGAACTCAGGACCTCTGGAAGAGCAGTCAATGCTCTTAACCTCTGAGCCATCTCTTAGTGGTTGATGAGGGCAGGCCACATTAGCGGGTGGGGACCCCGGATAGTGGTCCTAGATTCTATAAGAAAGCAGGCTGAGGAAGTCATGAGGAGCAAGTCAGTAAGCAGCATCCATCCATGGCCTTGCATTAGCTCCTGCCTCCAGGTTCTGCCTTGCTTGAGTTCCTGTCCTGACTTCTTTCAATGATGGACTGTGATGTGGAAATGTAAGCCAAAGAAGCCCTTTCCTTTGGGGACTCTCTCACGCTATATAACAGCTTTGCCTCCTCCTCTGTGTCACCTTTTAAAGGACCTATCTAAAAATCTAATAAACGTCTCAAAATAAAAAAAAGAAACACGACCTTTCTAAGTCTACATGTAGTTTTAATTTATCTGTTTTTGGTCATTTAAAATCCAATAATATATTATGTATAATGGAAGTCTTAAAAACTCATCGAAGTATCATAGTGTACTGTAAACATATGATCGATAGTTATAAATATTCCATGGATACTTGAGGAAATGTTCTATAGATTTCCACAGGAGAGCTTCTTAATAGTGTTTTTCTTTTATAGATATTCTCTACATCACTACTGCTCTGTGAACCTGGTTCATCAAATATTGAGAAAAGTACATTGAAAATAACTATTACCATCACAATTTATTAATGTCTCTGTTCAGTTCTTATGTAATTGTAAAAAATACCTACTTAAAAGGTGTGCTTCTGGATATACCCTAGAACTGTACAATGCTGCTGAAATAGCTACCTTTGGCTAAGGATAAATTTTGGTTTATTTTTATCACATTAGAATATCCAAACCAACAATTCTTAGTTATACATACTTATCCATTCCTATCATTTGGCATTCAGTCATATTACAGCCTTATTTTAAAGTATCTCTTCTTTTAATTTATCTTGTTTTGTTTTTGAAATGGGCTCTCATTATACAATCCTGGCTAGTCTGGAATCATGTAGATCAGGTTAGCCTGGAGCTCATAGCGATCTGCTTGCCTCTGCCTCCAATGTACTGAGATTAAAAGTAAGAATCATAACTCCTCACAAGGCATATCTTTTTAAAATAAAGCCAGTTAAATTTATTTTAGTCGAGTCCTTGTCTTCCGACTGGAAATGCTTCCAATTACAGTCTCTGTAGTGGATGTGTTCAGATTATTTTTTACCACTTTTCAAGTGTTCTTCTCTAATACTCAATTTTTTCTCACTGTGTTCTTTTAGGTTGGCTTTTCTTTAATTTTACTTTTTCACTCTGCAAGACATAGCTTTATGCAGTCATTTTTACCCTTTTCATGCTACATTAATAATCTCTATGGATATAAATAACAGAGTCTAAAATTAGCATCATTCTCTTCCATTCCAACAACATAAGGACTTTAGAGTCCTGTGTTTCAAACACCATCCCTTTCCTGTCTCGCAGCTGTCCTTTTTGACAGCCATACTTTTTGTGGGTAACTTTAAAATGTTTAGACTGACTAACCTCTTTTCTTTTCTCAGCTTCATTCTTCCTTCTCATGAAACAGATCTTTCATCAGCTATTGTTTCGTTTCAAAACAAGCTCATTCTAAGCATTTCCCACAGGAAAAGTCAAGGGATGGCAATTCAGTCTTTAGTTCCAACAGTCCAGCCGAGAACAGTGTATTGCAAACTTAACTCAAGGTTGTTCAGTCCTGTACTCAGCCACCTACACTCTGATCTGGTCATAAAAAGTCTCTAAAAAATTTGTTGTAAACTACAGTTTTGAAGACAACCTACACTTTGGTAATCATTTGACAGGATTTACATTCTCTGGAAATGTTGAAGAAGTGCGGGACTCACAGTTTAATTCTGTGTCCAGTGGGGGTGAGGCAGGAAACAGAATGAGGATTTTGTTGGTAGTTCACCTTTATATGGAGGATACTTCTGTTCCTGTCCAGCTTTATATAGGAGTGCTTCTTGTGGGTTGTCACCTTGCTTCAGATGATGCTCTGGATGAGGTTCTGTATAAACCAAAGTCCATGCCATTTAGGTTTACCAAGCCCTTCCAGCCCTTACCTTTCTGAGTTTCTGGCTTCCCTTGTTCTTTTGGCTTCTAAAGCTTCCCTTCATGTTCTCGTTAGTTCAGTGGTGCAGTTAGAGCATCTTCAAGTATTTCTTATGAACCATTTATGCTACAGACAGGGATGTTTTCAAGATTTTATACTTCATGTTGCCAACTCTGATATACCACACTACTGATAATTTACAGAAGGCCTCAGGATCAATGCTTTGTTCCTGACTCTGATAATCCACCAAACTGGGGACCTTGGACATTTCAGCCTTTGGATTCTGTTTACTTGCTAGAAGCACCTGAGGGCTCCTTTTAGACCCTTAAAAGACAAATTATTTCAAATTTGCATAACCTCCTCTGGGAAAAGATCTAGCATTCTTAATAAAACCCTTAAGTTCCTAATGAATATTAAAAATATTATGACGCGTATTAAACAAGGTATTAACCCATACTGTTGCATGTAAACTGCAAGTCAAAGCCTAATAACTTCTGGGATTTTACTTTCCTTTGTCTTGTGTTCTACTAAATCCATTCTTTTTCTAGCAAAAAGTTCTTACCAATAGCTAATATTTCAAATGACTCCCCATAGAAATTTCTTTTTCTTGTAACAAGACTGAAATAAAACTATGTTATTATCCTTAACTAGTATGAAAAGTTTTCATTAATGACTCTTTAATTAAGAAAAAATCAATTGCCTTTCAATTTTTATTTCAAAGCTTATAGCTGTAATAAATAAGCATAATATAGTTCTACTGTCATTGAGACATTCTCCAAGGCTAAGGGTGTTGCTCAGTGGTTGTTCAAATACTTAGTAAGTTAAAGCCCCAGGTTCAAGCACGTTCCATAAGTGAGAGGTTTCCCTGAATCTTGTGGATATACAAGATAACCTTATAAGAGAATATTATGTTTAAAACTTTAATGCAGATTGAAAAGCAGAATCTAACTAGAAATGTTCATCTAGGTTACAACCAAGCATATGAGCTTAAATTTCATTTCTAGTTGAAACACGATTTTTTGTAATATTCTAGCCAAACTTCCTTCTCTACTAAAATTCATTACTATGCTAATCAGAAATGCATTAAACTTTTAATGCTCATGGATCCATATGAAGAAATGGAGAACTAGTATACTTATTCACTCTCTTTACATATATATATATATATATATACAAATAGATATATAGAGATAGATGATATATATATATATATTTATATACACACTTTAAATATGTGTATACACATATTTCCCAACTTGTTTTAATTAAATGTTATGTAAAATTTAGATGTTTTGATAATTGAACTGAAATATAATAAAAGCTAAGCACGAGGGTGTTAGAAAAAATCTAGATTTCTTCCCGCGTAACTTTGAATAAGTCTCACTTCTATGCATTGATCCTCTGCAAAGCTAAACAATACATGTCAAGATGTCCTGGGTTCAAATTTCATTTGAGATACTTCCCAGAGTGTTAGCCAAGCTGCTGATGCTTATCTCTAAGGAATCACACATCAGGATTAAGTAGTGTAACACCCTCAGACAAGACTTCTGTTTAAAGGCCATGCATTGAACTTACCCACATCAATTAATTACTGAAAGACCGGTTCACTTTTTCCTTGAGATTCCTTTTTATGGTATTCCACTTACTATTTCATTATCATGTTCTTAATTTTAGCATAAAGTTGGTTAGGGAAAAAGGAGTTAAGACATTTTGAAGTTAAAAGATCATTTTATGTTCAGAAAAACCCACTTGTGTTTTGGTATGATCACACCTACAGTGCGTGAGTGTTGTTTAAAACTTGTGATTCCAAGGGGAATCAGTCTTCCAACTAATATATATGTACTTGGCGTTGAATAACTAGATTGAAATCCTGGAAAAAAGGAGAGAGAGGGAGAGGGACAAGGAGAGGGAGAGAGAGAGAGAGAGAGAGAGAGAGAGAGAAGTTTAGCCTCTCTGAGCTCTTTGATTATAATAGCTACTACATAGACAGTTTCCATAAATACTTGTTTCTGCGCTAAGTCAGTCTTTCTTTGATAAATACACTTCAAAAGGACCTCAACGTCTTAAGTAAAAGAGAAGCACACAGAAAGACAATAAAGAGACACAAATACACACACACACACACACACACACACACACACACACAGAGAGAGAGAGAGAGAG